CACACACACACACATACATACACTCTCACACACTCACACACTCACATGCATACACTCTCACACACACTCACATACATACACTCTCACACACTCACATACATACACTCTCACACTCTCACACACACTCACACACACACTCACATACATACACTCTCACACACACTCTCACACACACATACATACACTCTCACACACTCACACACACACTCTCACTCACACTCTCACACACTCACACATGCTCTCAGACTTTCTCACACACATTTACACACCCACTCTTACAAACATGTTCATGTACACTCACACACAACTCTCACAAACACTATTTATCACACATAAGCTCATACAAACTCAGACTCACACACCAATTCTTTTTTTTATTCATCTTAATGAAAGTTTACAGACTTTGGATTTCCATTCATTCATTGTCACACTTTTCTCCCTGCCCACCCCTCCCCCTCACACACCAGTTCCAACACACCCACATACATTCACACACTCAGAGCCACACACTGAGACTCACATATAAACTCTCACATGCATGTCTGTGCACACACACTCATGCACGCGCGTGCACACGTGCACACACACACAGAGATTGCCACTTTCACATTCACACACGCTCAGATCCTCGCTCTCACATCCTTGCACACTCACTCAGATTCTGTCTCACACATGCACAGACTACCAGGGGGACTCACACCCATGCAGACATTCACTTACACACATGCAGATTCCGACGCCCTCTTACACACTTCACACCGTCACAGATTCTCACTCACACCCTCTTGCACTCTGAGGCACACGTGCTCACACCCTCTCATGCCCTGACACATTGCAGCAGATAATTACTCATCTAAACCTGACTGGTCATCTCTGTTGCTCTGAGGAACCACCAGGCCCTGGATTTAAAGTCACAGGGCAGGTGTCTCACCTGGCTGATCCCTGTAGTCTGACAGGGAACGCAGGAACCACCCCTGGACCCCATAGGACAGGGGTCCTGCCATGTCTTAGGTGCAGGGGAACATTGCGAGCTGTACTCGATGTCGCTGTCACACACATCACGCTCTGTGTGTCAGAGCAAGCCTTTCATCTAAGGGGCCCACAAGGCCACCTGGCCCGTCTCCCCACAGGTGCTCTGCGAACTGCCCACATTCCTGGCGTGTCTGAGTCACTCAGTCTAGACAGCTCGCTGCTTTCCTTCCCACCTGTGTCCATCCCTGCGGCTTGCCTTCACTTTTCCACCCACTGCCAGCTTCCTCCATCTCTGAGTCATGCACTTCTCCCCTTCAGCACCTCCCAGATACCTGCAGCCAGCGTGTGCACCTGGCCAGGTGACAGAAATCGTTCCCACCCTTTCTACTGGCTCCGCACCTTCTCCAGCCTTCACAGTGCTCTTGGTCCCTGCAAACATAGGCGTTTCTGCCTCACAAAGATGGAAATGTCTCAACACATGAGCCTGGGATCAGGGATGACCACCTCCAGGGACCCCAAGACAATGATTTGGGGGTTCTGGAGGGAGTGTAGTTTTGTTATATCTCTGTAGGATTTGACTTATCAGAATGCCAGAAATGGTTGTTGAACGTATGTCTCTTCTGAAGTTGCCCTCACTACACCTTCCCACCCTACGAGCCAAAAATCTCTGCCATCAAGTTGATTCCAATCTGACATCTGCCAAAGCTCAAGGAATAGAAGTCTCCAGACAATCCATGATGCAGGTGACGCAGTCTGCTTGCAGAACAGTCGGCAGCCTCTGCAATCCTGTGGGCACTTGCGCTCTGTCCTCCGGGGTCTCTGTGAGCTGTCACGATTCAGTCGCGTTGAGTTTGGCCTGATTTGGTTTGGTTTAGAAGCTGGCATATGCACAAAAGAAACAGAAGAAGTGACATGTGATGGGAGTTTGAGGAACTCCCTCTGATTTCATGAAGTCAAGTGCCAAATGCATTGCAAGACGTTAACCACCGCACGGCGTCACCGTGGAGGCTTTCCAAATCTCCTCTGCAGATCCGCTCTTAGGTTGTCTGTCGTTCTGCTGTTTGCTTGGGCCATTTGCAGTCCAAGCTCTTCAGAGAAGTGAGTTTGTTGCCACCACGTGCAAAGTCCTTTCCTTAGGCCAATGGTTCCCTTGTTCCCAGACATCAAGGCAGCTCTAAAGCCATCTCTGTCCATAGGCACCATTGTACAGATGAGGAAGTCAAGACACACAAGCATTAGAGGAGGGGCTGTGGTCACAGCCAGTGGCTGAGGGGCTAGAATTGGAAGGAGGCCTTCTCACTCCAGGTGGCGCTGAGTCTGCAGGTAATCGCTCCTGTGAGAAACTGCAGAAAGGGAATCTTACCCACAGAAAGGGACCAGCATCCTGACCAAGGAGCTGAGTGAGGAGGCCTTTCCACGAGGTTTAGAGAGGGAGTTCGGGAGTTTCCCCAGCCTGCAGGCACCTCCCCGTGGTGATCAGAGCCTGTCCTGGCTGTGGCACTCTGGGAAAGACCCCAACAACGTGAAGAAGGAGCTTCCTCCTGGGGCCAGAGTTACCATTAGTCGCACCTCTAACGCATTCAGAGGAGAACTTTAAAAATAATTTTAAAAAATCAGAAGTGTAATTTTGTGGAAATTCCCTTTTAAAAGGAGAATATCTACTTTTTATAGTACTACTCAAAACTGGAAGATATACTATGCCAATGCGTGTATATTTATTGAGTTTTATTTGTTATTGTTGTTGTGTGCTAGCGAGTCGGAACCAACTCCTGGCTAATCCTCCAGCAGGCTTTTTTGTTTATTTGTTTTTGTATATTTTATTATTATTATTATTATTATTAATTTTAATGAAAATTTACCGAGATTTTGGATTTCCATTCATTCCTTGTTGTACTTTTCTCCCTGCCCAACCCTCTCCCCTCCCTGGTTTGTTCTTCTCTTTGAAAAGTAAAAGAAAAATTCTTTCATTGTTATACAACACCCCCCCCAAGTCCGCTCCACTGTGCAGCCTTCATTTTGGGCTCCTGTTATGACAATAATACCTAATCACAGAGAGGCAGTAAATCACATGGGAGGAGATTGCTCGTCTCTCTCAGAGAGCAGATGGTGGGTTTGAACCTTGTGCCTTTAGGATTGCAACATAGCTTCTTATCTCTCGGCTACCAAACCTGCCTTAAAGATGCTAATTAAAAATTTAAGGAGCTCTGGTGGCCTAATTTATTGCCCAAACTCCCGTCTTTTTGGTAGTTCAAATCCACTAGGCTCCAGAGGAGAAAGATGATAGTCTCTTCCTATTGAATTTACAGCCTCAGAAAACCCATTGGAGGCTCAGCTGTGGGTCACTTCTTCTCAGTAACAATGAGTGAGAAAGAATGAAAACTCTCTTTCTCCGTACAAAGAGCCAGTCTCATAAAGGACAGTTCAGACTCAAACTTCAGACTCTAGGGGTTCAAATCCCAGGCAGTCAAACTGTTTCCTCACATGAACCATGGACATGGTGAGACCTTCAGAACAAACCAGCAGTTTAGGGACCTCTCAGGGGCAGGGAGGTGTGCACCTGCAGACAGGTGAGCAGGTGCTGTGTGCCTCTGTGCACACCCATCGTCCTCGGTAAAGGTGTTCTTCCTGGGATGTGGTCAGCTAGCTTCCACCTCTGCAGACGGCTTCTACCTTCACGGGTGACTGTTTCCAGGTGGCTTCTACCTCCACAGGTGACAGTCCTGTGTGTTTCCTCCCACAGTGCACAGCCACATGTGGGGGCGGCGTGCAGACCCGGTCAGTGCACTGTCGGCTGGGGGGCCAGCTGGCCAGCGGCTGCAACCCCCACCAGAAGCCCTCAGACTCCCTGGCCTGCAACACCCACTTCTGCCCCATCGCCGAGAAGGAAGGTGAGTGCCCTGAGCCCTGGACCTGGCCGGGCTTTCAAACCAACCCATAGCTGACCCTCCATCAGGCTTTCTGAGGCCTCTAATGGAAGGGGAGGAGAGTGTCCGAGTGTCTCCCTTGCTGCCTGGCCTTCAGGAACGGGAACTCCAGTCTGTAGGGCAGTACCCTCCCTCATTTCACCACCACACCCACATTTTGCCCTTCTCTCACTTGGTGATGGCTGTTGCCAGGAGACCTGAGATGCTCTCTCTGCAGCTGGTATACTGGAGGAGAACACCATTTGTCCACTCAGCCATTCCACTACTGGGAATACGCTCTAAAGAAGCCGGAGCCATGAATCACACAGATGTATGCCACCCGTGATTATTGTTATTCATGGTAGCAAAGAGATGGAAGCCACCCAAGTGCCCAACCACAAACAATGGATAGAAAAACTATAGTACATTCACACAACGGTGTGGGGCCCCATAGGTTTACCTGGGCCCATTGCCAGGCCTTGGCTCCCACAGAGCTGCTGGGTGGGCTAACTCTGTGGGCCTTCTGGAGATCATCTGAATGCTAAACCATTGCACCACTGTGGACCATCACTCCCCCAGGTGGACACATGCTTAGGAGAACTGGTTAGGAAGTCTGTAGCACTCGCAAGGCATGTTCCAACTCACTTAAAAGCCCATTTCATACCCAGCACCAATAACAAAGGTCTGCAGGAAAGCAAACAACACCTGCTGATGAAGTTGTGGAGCGATTAGGACTCTTTTTTTACTATTATTATTATTTTGTGTGTACTGTTAAATCAGGTCTGACTGGTACAGGAGGAGATGGTCCCTCCTTCTCCAGCAGAACAACTGGTGGATTCGAACCGTGTAGCTCTAGGATTGCAGTGCAGCTTCTTGCCACTAGGCCACCAGAGCTCCCAAGATTGGGACTCTTACTCACTGCTGATGGGAGTGTGAAATGGTGCAACTACTATGAAAAGCAGACTGGCACCTTCTCAAAAAGCTGGACCTAGAAATACCATTTGATCCAGCCATTCCATTACTGGGAATAGACTCTAAAGAAATCAGAGCCTTGTCTCAAACAGATGTATGCCACCCATGATTATTGCTGCATTATTCACAATAGCAAAGAGATGGAAGCAACGCCAGTGCCCAACCACAAACAGTGGACAGAAAAACGACGGTACATTTACACAATGGAATACTATGCAGCACTGAAAAACAAAGAGCTCATTGTTTCTAATGCTGTAACAAACATAAGTAGATATATGTCTTTTTGTGTCCGAGCTTTGTTTCTTTAGGATATGTATTTGGTAATGGCATTGCTGCATCAAATGGTGTTTCTATTTTGAAAAATTTAAGGGTGGGAAGTATAATTTTCCACAGTGATTACACTATTCAACAAACCCTTTCAATTAAGTCTTTTGGTAAACACGATTATTTAGTTTTGCTAATACTATTTGTTAAAGAGACTGTGTCTTCTCAATAAATAGACTTTGACATCTCTTAAAAAAAGAATAAAAACAATGAGCTCATACAACATAACACAACGTGGAGGAGTCTGGAGGACATAATGCTGGGTGAAATGTCTCAGTCATGAAAGGACAAACTGTTATAAAGTAGACTTGACATGACGGGCTGGAGAGGGAATGGAGAAAGAATGGATAAATAATGAACATTGCATTAGAATAAATGAGGGGAAGAACTGTCTGAAAATAATATATGATTAGACATTATATGTATGACAACAATCTGAAACAATCTGCTTTGGTGGGGTGGACTAGAGGAGGGGGAATGGATGAGGGATGGAAATGTGCAACAATGAAATAAACCAAGAAGGAAAAAAAAAAGGCCCATTTCACCCCCTCATCCTCAGCACCGACTCTGGGGAGGCCAAGGACTTGCCTGCTGGAGCTCCAGCAAGAAGAAATGAATGGGATGAGGAGGGCATAAGGTTTCCGCTAAGTCAACAATTGTTGTTGTTGTTGTTGTTGGGTGCCATCGAATCAGAACCAACTCACAGCTGACCCTCCAACGGGTTTTCAGAGGCAGTTTAATCTCATGGGAAGAGATTGCCCATTTTTCTCCCGTGGAGCAGCTGGTGGATTTGAACTGTGTGCTTCGGCATTGCAGCACCGCTTCTCGCCATTAGGCCATCAGAGCTCTATTTGTTGTTGTGTACTATTTAGTCAGACTGACTCAGAGCTGAGCCTCCAGTGAGTTTTCTGAGGCAGTTAGTGGCTCAGGGTAAGACTGGAGATTGCCCATCTTTCTCCCACAGAACAGCTAGTGAATTTGAACCACACAACTTTGCATTGGCAGCACAAAATTTCTTAGCACTAAAAGCCACCAGAGCTCCAAGAACTAGACCCTAGAAACCCAGGCAGCAGGGTATCCACTCTCTTGGGTAGGCAAGTGTTTTAAGTGTAAGGGTTTAACAGAATGCTAGCTTTCCAAGAATCTTCAAAAAGGAGTCGAGGCTGTGACACATGCTCCTACCTGCCCACCGGGCTGTGATTCACTGATGTCTATGCCCCTCGATGCAATAATACAGGTGCTCCTACCTGTCCACTGGGCCCTGTCTCACCTATGTACATGCTCCTTTCAGATGCCTTCTGCAAAGACTACTTCACCTGGTGCCACCTGGTGCCCCAGCACGGCGTGTGCAGCCACCGCTTCTACGGCCCACAGTGCTGCCGGTCCTGCTCCAAGTCTAACCTGTGATGCTGGCCGGTGCTGGATGTCCTGTTCTCAGCACCAAGAGCCAGCCGGCTCCCTGGCATGTGCCTGGAAGAGGGAGCCTGGAGGGAGGGAGGGAGAGAAGGAAGCCAGGCTGAGCTGAGTGACATGGACTGTGTGTATGTGTGTGTGTGTGTGTGTGTGTGTGTGTGTGTACACACATATGTGTATGCTTGAGTGTACACACATGTGCACGTGTGTGTGCACAGGTGTTTGTATGTGTGAATGTGTGCCTCTGCATGCATGCGTTTGTGTATACAACCGTGAGTGTGTACATATGCAAACATGTGTGAGTCTGGCAAACCCGGCTGTGTTTGCATCTGCACACACACAAACACACACATACTCCCAAGTATGCACTCTCGTTGATCTAAAACCAGGTCCCCAACCTGGCAAACCTGCTGGGATACCCACAAGGGGTCTGCCCTCTGCAGGGAGGAGAGGTAATGCACACTGCCGTCTGCATCTCAGACAGGTGGACAAAGTCTGGAAACTTGAGCCTAGAAAAGAGCGATGAGTGAGATACCTGCCCCACAAATGCCAGGCTCTGCCTCCGCCTCTAAGGCCTTCCAACTGTCATCACACCCACCACATATGCTGAGGATAGCTGGGAATGGGGGAGCCCCGGGCTCTGGGTCCAGGAGACTCCACAGGTGGTCAACTAGATGGCCACCTCTGCCCGGGACCAAGAGAGAGCGAGAAGGGGGCTCCTGCTCTCATTTGACTTTGCTGTTGAATAGGAGGGACAAAGTGGTTTTGGGGAATCCTGTCTACCAGAGGGTAGATTTCCCCTTTCATGTTTTCCTTCCTCAGTTAAATAAGCGCTCTTATTGAAGCCCATTTCTTAACACCTTTTCGTCTTTCAATGGCTGCTGAGAATGACAGGTTGTATCCAGACAGGATGGCAGGTCATGCCAATCCCACTGTCTTGGAGGGACCTGTGGTGCTACCCTAATAGATGCCAGCCAAGCGTGCCTCATCACCTCGGAGCCCCACATGCAGCGTCTGTCCTGAGTGACTTTCTTTCAAGTCGGGTTGTTTGACACCCACTCAGCACCTTGGGGAGGAGTTTCCAGCAAGAAGTGGTGTCACTTGTCTCTGGCATCGCCCCACTGGTACTGGTGCTGCCCCCTCCCCTTCCTTTCCTAAGGTGCCACTGCCCTGGGAGAGCGCCCAAGTATTTATATGTACCGAAGTTTTATAATAAATCTGATCTTGTACAGCGTGCTACTGAATGGGCTCTTTTTTTTTCTTCTTAATCTGATTTCTATTGGTTTGTGTACATCATGTATCATTTATGTACATTGTGTTTCACACATTCCTTCATCCACATTGTGCTTTAAACCATCACTCACGTACATTGTGTTTCTAACATTGCTGTTGTTGTTATGTGCCGTCAAGTCGCTTGCGACTCATAGCGACCCTATGTACAACAGCCCTAAACTCCGCTCTGTCCTGTGCCAATCACACTGTCTCTGACACTCCCATCCCAATTATCCCAGTCACTGAATCAATCCACCTCATAGAGGGCCTTCCCCTCCTGCACTGTCCCTCCACCCTCCCAAGCATGATATCCCTCTCCAGGGACCGGTCCCTCCTCACAACATGCCCAAAGTATGTTAGACGGAGCCTCAGAATCTTTGCCTCCAAGGAGTCACTCAGTTTAAGCCTTTCCAGGACAAATCTGTTTGTTTTCCTAGCAGTCCATGGTATTCTCAATACTCTTCTCCAGCACCACAGCTCAAAGGCATCAGTTCTCCTTCTATCCTCCTTGGTCATTGTCCAACTCTCTGATGCATAACAAGTGATTGCGAAGACCATGGCCTATATCAGACTCACCTTAGTCTCCACGGAGACACCATTGCTCTTCAGTACTTTGGAGAGGTCCCTAACAGCAGAATTTCCCAAGGCAATGTGCCTTTTAATTTCCTGGCTGCTGGTGCCAAGACTGTTGACTGTGGAGCCAAGCAAACTAAAGCTGTGTACAATCTCAATCTCTTCACCATCCATCCTGATGCTGCCAATTGGTCCAGTGGTGAGAATCTTTGTCTTCTTGACATTGAGCCTCAATCCATATTGTAGGCTGCAGTCCTTGACCCTCTGCAGCAGGTGCTTCAGGTCCTCTTCAGTTTCAGCAAGCAGGGTTGTGTCATCTGCATAACACAGATTGTTGATAAATTGTCCACCAATATTGACCCCATATTTCTCCTCATAGAGCCCAGCCTCCTGGATAATCTGTTCTGCATATAGGTTGAAAAGGTATGGAGATAGGATGCATCCCTGGTGTACGCCCTTCCCAATTTTGAACCATGAAGTGTTCTCTTGCTCTGTTCTGATGACTGCCTCCTGGTCCAACTAACATTAATCATCATTAATCTATGTTTCTGATGGTCTAGTGGCAAGAAGCTGCACTGCAATTCTGAAGGCACAGGGTTCAAGGCTACCAGTTGCTCTGCGGGAGAAGGGTGGGCAATCTCCTCCCATGCAATAAACTGCTTCTGAAAACTTTCTGGAAGGTCAGCTGTGGGTCAATTCCGACTCTATGGTACACAACAACAACAGCAACAATCTATATATACTGTTACCCCGTCTTTTCAGGTCCACACTGAATCTTTCCTAATCCCTTCACCCCTTTCCCCCTACCAAACTCTGTTATCCTAGTGACTTCCTCCCTCCCCACCCTCAACCTCTACCCCTTCCCCTTTTGGACTTTATACACATCTTACCAGTCATCATTCTGTTTGTACAATAATGGTCTTATGCAGTATTTGTCCTTATGAGATGGAGTTAGTTCACTCAGCATAAAGCCCTATAGACTTTCCCATGTTATATATAACACGGAGAAGGTCGATTTCTGAGGGAGGGTCTGGAGAAGTGGGGGGAACTATCTCAAGAGAGAAAAGGGGCTCTCTGGAATGCAGTAGAAGGTGTTGGAAACAGAGGGTCTATTTAGTGCCCTCGGGGGCCCGCAAAACAAATCCCACCAAGTATGTCTCTCAGGAACATGAACAGTAATGCGCCTCCGTGGTTCAGATTCAGGGTCATGTGCTTCTGTACGCTCAGGAGAGGGCACTTTCTTGTTTGTTTCAGCTTCTGGTGACCTGTGGTGCCTTTGGCTTATAGGTGACTCCTCACATGGTGTCCTTGTGTGTGACTCTATCTCCCTATTCATTCACCCCATTTATTGAATTGCACTCAGACGCCTGCCATACTCCACTATGACCTTACTAACTGATACACCTGCAGGAGGCGTCTTCTTTCCAAACGAGGTCACGTTCAAGGACAAATTAGGACAGGGTAGGACTGAACCATAATGTTTTTTGTTTGGTTTCTTTTCTTTTATTATTATTCATTTTAATGAAAATTTACAGAGACTTTGGGTTTCCATTCATTCATTCTTGTACTTTTCTCCCTGCCTACCCTACCCTCCCAGTTTGCTCTTCTCTTTGAAAAGCAAAAGAAAAATTCTTTCATTGTTATACAATCCCTCCCCCCATGTCCACTCCACTATGCAGCCTTCGTTCTGGACTCCTGTCATGACAATAATATCTAATCACATATCTCTTTTAAACAGTTCTTTCTCATCTGTTTCAATGCACTATACATAATTTATCCCCTCTTTCTCAATAGTGGCCCTGTGCAGTATTTGTCCTTTTGTGACTGATGTATTTCACTCGGCATAATGTCCTCCAGGGTCACCCATTTTGAATAATATTTCATGAGTTCCTTGTTTTTCAATGCAGCGTAGTATTCCATTGTGTGACTATACCATAGCTTCTCTATCCATTCGTTTTTAAAGTTATAAGTAATTATGGGAATAAACTATCCCATCTCTCTGCTAGGAACTGCTGGTCGATTTGAAATACTGACCTTTCAGATAGCAGACTCATGCTCATGTGGATAAAAAATATGCCCACTCTTCACTTTCCCTCCATCACCGCAACTCTTCACTCCTGAAATGCCGTTTTAGTTAAAGTCCTCTCCGTTCTTCCCTGGCCAATCCAGAACATCTCCTCGGCTCTTACGTGTCTGTTTGCCACTCAGGTTTCTGCTGGGAATTTCATTCTCATGGATCTGGGAGTCTCTGTTGCTCTGAATTCGTGATGTGTCCTTGCATGAGCATTCAGCTGTGTCTGCAGAGGGTGGTAAAGGGGCCTGGGGTGACGAGGAGGCACACAGCATCTTTAGATCCTGGGTAACACATGGGCTGATTAATATGTTGACTTTCAGATACACTATCTTGTTTTACAAGACCTGGCTCTGGCTGTCACAGAGGACTTTGTGTGCCATTCCCCCTCCCTTTATTTATTTCTCAGTTGCCTTCGGAGACAATAACAGGCTCCACAGAAAAGTCTTTGTTCCCAGTTACCCAGCTTCCCAGAAATGCCTCCAGGTGCTCCTCAGACCCCAGGGGCTGGGCAGAGGTCATCTCTTTGAGCCCCCAGGGCACAGGCTGCCTGCATTGACCAGAATCACAGGAAATATTGGAGGCCATGCAACCCCCACGAATTCCAGACAGAAGCAAAGATCCCAGACCACACAGGGCTGAAATCAAGGAACAGAGAGTGGCAAATACCATCCAGATAAGCCCAGACGCTCAGCAGTCACCCTGTCTGCCCGCCGCATCCCCACCCTGTAAACAATGCCAGCCAGGGAAAGCCAACAGGCAGACTTCAAAGAGTGGAGCAAATCTCCCCCACCGGCCCCTGAGCCTAGGTGTGCGTGTGCTCCCCTTCTGAATCCTCACTCACGTTGCCACCCTCCCCCAGACAGGCAGGGAGTATTCATGTTTGTAACTCCAAATAACACTTGAGAATTCAAACCTAGGGAAAGGCTTCTTAATAAACAGAGGGGCCACAGGCTGGCTGCTCACTTGCTAGTCCAGACTAAACGCTCTCACAGGGGTTTCACCACCTCTCAAGTGTGTCCTGACCCTCCACACGCTCCAGGCTGCCCATCTGGCGGGCCCCATGCAGACCGGTTCC